TTGCTGTAAGCAGCACACAGACGGTCATGGTATTTCTTCACTGGAGCAGGAAGTGAGCTTGCTCCTGCCTCCATGCTGCAGATGCACAGTGGGAAAAGCAATAGATACACTAGAACAGGCAACAGACGGCAATGTCTGAAGAAAGGAATTGATGACCACCACTAGAACTGGAACCATGTCGGAGTAGAGGAACGATGCTCTCGCCTTGGACATCCGACAATGAGGTCGACTTATTACCTTTCCCACAGGTTTCCTATAATGTAGAGACCGATAATTGATAGACTGCACAAGTAACCATGGTACCAGGATAGTGTAGCTTTCTCCATGTCGCTCACTCACACGCACTACTGCTCATGCTGAGCTACTACTAGTCCTACATGACGCACATGTATGTTTATGACCCGGCTTTCCTGGTTGGTGACGAGCGTAGACGCGGATCCGCGGTAGGAATCCGCGGACAGCACTATGACTAGCTGACTGAGCTAGCTGGAGGTGAGTGAGGAGGCATGGTTTGAGCAAGAAACGATAACGCTGAAAGCCGGAACAGGGCCTAGGCGCCTGGTCATATCGCATACCGGCTGCATGCAGTAGACCTGCTACCAGTATACCTGTAACACAATCCGGCATACACGTAGATTCTACCGCCGTACACAGGTATACGTGTACGTGCATGTCCATCACCCATCTCCCAATATCCGTACATGGTCGCAGAGTAGGTCTACATACATACGTAGCACCTGCTGGATGGCACGACATGAGACATGAGCATATGGGGTGGACTTGTGCCTGCACCCGTACTAGTAGATCTACATACAGTGTAGTACAAGCGATGAGGATCTCTACGACGGAACGTCATTTCCGCCAGACCAGGTTCGGCTTGGCCCTCCGCTCCGGCATACCGCAAATCGGTTGTCTTTTTTCTTTGAGGAGCTTCAAGCTCGGCGTGCCAATTGCCGGCAGCAAGCTAGCTGGAAGACGCGTCGACGTTCTGGACTGAGTCACAAGTGTTTTATCCAGTCGTGTTCAGGATGTCGGGTTGAGTTTGAGTAACTGCTTCTCAGTTGTCATAGCGGAACGTGTCGGTTTTCCGTGCATGGACTTGGCGTTAGAGCGGGCTGAAAACTGCATTTGGAAGCTTGGTATCGGAAATTCCTACATCCTCCTCGTTTGTAGACGACTGTTGGTGAAACTCGGCGTACACAAGTGAGTACTGTGTGTGTGTGTGTGTGTGTGTGTGTGTGTGTGTGTATGTGTGTGTGTGTGTGTGTGTGTGTGTGTGTGTGTGCGTGTGTGTGCGTGCGTGCGCGCGCCCGTGTGTGTATGTGTGTGCGTGCGTGTGCATGCATGTGTGCGCTGAGACCAGAGAAAAACAGGACTAACTTGCAGAACTTGTGGTGTTCCAAATATCTATAATATAATAGTTCTAAAATTTTGAAGGACGCTTCACGCAGCTTCATTATACTTGAATGGTTTGCAGGCAAGCTGCCTACACTCAAGAGAGCACTGCATTTCACCCAAATCCATTACAGGTATCGTTTCAACGTTTCGGTCTTCATGACCATCATCAGGAATGAAGTGGAAATGGAAAAAACAGCAGTATAAAAGAAGGAAGCAAAGCGCAGTACCTAGTGAGAGAAGTGCAAAGCACGTTGTGATAATAGTTCTACTCTCCATAATAACGTAATCTGTAGGACCACGCAAAAATTACAGTAAAACCTGTAACTAACAACCACCGTGACTAGCGACCACCGTGACTAGCGACCACCGTGACTAGCGACCGGCCTGGTACTACCGACCACTTCGTCAGGCACGGACGGTCTCACATTCATATGCACTGTGACTAGCGACTACCTGCTGAACGCGACCAGCGACCGCCTTTTCTTGTCCCAATGTCGAATTTTGACCCGTAACTAGCGACCGCGATGTAGGAAATCAAACATTGCTCGAAGCTCCTTCTCGAAATGTTGATGATTTTCCATGGTCCTCAAAGGACTGTTTCGATACTGCAGCTGGACAAATGAACGCAGTCTCATTTTGACTGTGGAATCAGCGTGGACTGCACTACGCCTGTCATAATTTCAGGTGCTGTCAAGAACAAACATCAGGGCTCACAGTTGCGTAGAAAAGCGTCGATTAGATGGGGGCGGTGCACGTGCTCCAAAATGCCAGCTTGGCCAATCAGCAGTCAGCATTTCGTCGCATTTTTGCTCGAAGTAGGGGGTGTTTGAAGGAGTTAGCAGCACTTCAGCCAGGTTCTACGAAGCTGGGACTTGGCCCAGGCACAGATGACAGGTGTTCCAAAAGATTTACCGAAACAAATTTTCATTACTCACACGGGTATGCCAGAGCATATGCGTAAACTTCGTGAGATATAGTACACCATTCGAAAGGAGTATCCAAAAACGTCTCGGTAAATTTCTTTGCCAGGGTCTCCTGAAAATTTTGAGCCATAGATTGTCCAAATCGACCAAGGGGGAGATGCTCTGTACTGATTTTAGTAACCCCGAGTCCCCGCGGCGCGCAACCGCTTGCGCGAAAATGTGTGAAGATCAAACAACAAGAAAAACGCATGCATGCAGCAGAACAGCAACGCGTGCCGTCGAAGAGAACATCATTGTGCACAGATTGTTCAGTGTTCTCTCCTCAGTTCGCCCGCGGCGTTGGTTGCTGTGCTTTCATTCTCGCTGGAGTTCTTGTGGCAGCGCATTTCGCCATCATGGAGGAACTGGCACCCTGGGAAACCTGGTCTTCAGTGGCCCTCGACAAACGCCCGGTGGATTTGCTGGTCCCGTTCACCTCCATCCGATCACCAGCTCCGTGTGGTATCATCATGTTCTCGGCGTTACCTGCCTGGCGAGCTCTGACTCGTTTGTTTGTCTTCTTACCTGTGGAATCATCACGATCGCTCATTGTAGGATCAGCTTTTGGTCGAACATGGCATGTTGTTTTTACTGGGACTAGCACAGGTTGCGTTTCGCCTTCTCCTCCAAAATATCGCGAACATCGGCTCTAAAACTACGAGAACAGGCTACAAGTACAACTCTGGTTCTTTCTCTTTTCTGTTCTGTTTTGGATGCGTGGGATGTACACGATCGGTACTCTCCCGGGGTCACGCGACTCACGTGCACCAAACCCGCCCTCGCACGACGCTTTTGTCGATCCTGCATGCCTACTGTGAGCCCTGAACATCATAGGAAACGTCTTGGAGAGCGCATCCAAAGCGCTCTTTGATCGATGTTACTACTCGAAGGAGAAACTAAGACTGAGCGGCTCTCTGTCGAAGTGCAATCACACAGCTCAGTCACCAGGTCACACTGACAGTCTGTGCTGGCTAGCTAGCATGCTACGGTATAATGTACTCACCTGTACGGAAAACAGGCCAGGATACGATGGCGGATACTAATAAATTATAAATAATAATAATAATAATAATAAATAAAATAGTATAGTCTACAGTGAAGGTGCGAAAACTCGCAACATCGCCACATCACGTAGATCGATGACTGGTACACACCAGTACAGTTTACGCTACACTACATCCAAGTCGGAGCGACTGCGTTTCCACTGTAGATCTACACACTGATACCAGTTGCCAGTGTACATGGTGTACATGGTGTACATGGTGTACATGGTGTACATGGTGTACATGGTGTACATGGTGTACATGGTGTACATGGTGTACATGGTGTACATGGTGTACATGGTGTACATGGTGTACATGGTGTACATGGTGTACATGGTGTACATGGTGTACATGGTGTACATGGTGTACATGGTGTACATGGTGTACATGGTGTACATGGTGTACATAGTGTACATGGTGTACATGGTGTACATGGTGTACATGGTGTACATGGTGTACATGGTGTACATGGTGTAGTCGCACACAGATGAGGATGGAGTCGATAGTGACTACTAACAGTGCACACTTATAAGGAATGGACTGTAGTCCACTGCCTGGCCAGGCCAGCGCTGCTCTGGAAACCCAGTGAGTCGACATACGGGTCAAAAGGTCGTATCGTTTCCGGTATAAAAGGCCGTGAATGGCATAAGTAACAACTGTTACATGACTTGTAGTTAGCTCGACGAGTTTCGACTTGACCAAGGAAGTTGTCATCATCGGACTCGGATTGCAGTTGTTTCGTTTTCGTTGAGGATGGCGTCAAGAAAGCCAGAAACCAAGAAGCACCGCAAGGTCCTGGTGCTGAAGGATCGTGTCCGAGCGATTGAGAAGTCACAGCAAGGACAGTCGGCACGATCGATCGCCCTCGCAATGGGAGTTGGCAAGACCCAGATCCAGGCCTTGCTCATAAACAAGGACAAAATTATGGAGGAGTGGAAGTCTGGCGGAAACACCAATGCTAAGCAGCTCGCTCCCAACAGACGACAGTATGCGGATGTAAATGAACTTCTGTTCAAGTGGTTCACGAGTGCGTGGTCTCGCGGAATACCTGTGCCTGGAAGTTTATTGCAAGAAAAAGCAATGACACTCGCAAAGGCAAGGGATAAGGACACACCGTTTGCTGCCTCTAATGGCTGGTTGGAAGCATGGAAAAAGCGCAACAACATCAAGGGAGCTGTGCTGTCAGGCGAAGCCGCTGATGTCCGAGAAGAAGACGTGACCAGCTGGAAGGAACGCCTTAGGGATCTGTGCAAAGGGTACGATCCTAAAAAAAAATCCTCGCAAAGGCAAGGGATAAGGACACACCGTTTGCTGCCTCTAATGGCTGGTTGGAAGCATGGAAAAAGCGCAACAACATCAAGGGAGCTGTGCTGTCAGGCGAAGCCGCTGATGTCCGAGAAGAAGACGTGACCAGCTGGAAGGAACGCCTTAGGGATCTGTGCAAAGGGTACGATCCTAAGGACATCTTCAACGCGGATGAGACCGGGTTGTTTTTCCGCACTCTTCCGAACCGTTCTCTCTTCTTGTTCGAACGGATTCGTGCAAAGGCGGTAAGCAATCCAAAGAGCGGATCACCGTCCTCCTAGCAGCCAGTGCAATGGGTGAGAAGTTGAAGCCGTTGGTCATTGGTAAATCGGCTAACCCCAGGTGCTTCAAAGGGGTCAATAAAACAGCGCTGGGCGTGCAGTACGAGGCCAATAAGAAGGCGTGGATGGTGTCGGATCTGTTTCGTAGTTGGCTGAAGTCTTTAGACAGGAAGTTTGCTGCAGCGGGACGCAACATCCTGATGTTCATCGACAACTGTCCGGCTCATCCAACACTCGACCTTGAACATGTTGAGTTAGTATTCCTCCCCCCTAACACAACATCGAGGCTGCAACCCATGGATGCAGGGATAATCCAAGCTATGAAGCTGAGGTACAGAAGGCGCATTGTGCAACACTTGTTGGCAAGAATTGATCAAGAAACACCTGCTTCAGAACTGGCCAAACAAGTGAACGTTCTGGATGCCATCATGTGGCTTACAGCATCATGGAGTGAGGTGCAGCCCACAACAATCCAGAAATGCTTCAGCCATTGTGGATTTGCAGTAGAAGCACCCTCATCAGAGTTGGATGAACCTGAATTTGACGAGCTCCCTGCTGCAGAGAGTGTCCTTGGAGATCAGACATTGTCGGATTATGCAGCAATAGACAACGAGCTTGGAACAAACGAAACTCTGTCTGATGATTGGGAGAATAGAATCTTCCAAGAAGCACGGGGTGAGCCTGATGATCATGATGATGCGGTCGATGCCAGTGGGGATGAGTGTGATGCTGAAGAGTCCACTGAGGCCACAGAAGTCAGAGAAGTATCCGGCAAAGAAGCATTGTCCTGCATCTCAACATTGCAACAGTTTACGTTGCAGCGTGGCTTGTCTCCCATGGCAATGGATGTAGAAAAACTTGGTGCCTTCGTGAACAAACTTGAAGCCCAGCGCAAAGAGAAGCTTCAACAGGGAACTCTTGACTCCTGGCTTCAGAAGTAGGAGCTGAATTTAATGTCTGCAATAAAACTTGATTTTCTCTCTCTCCAAGTGTTGTATGATCTGAAAGAATAATGTCAGTGCGCAAGTGGTGGGGGATTGTATTATCTGCATTTTGACATACATATCATATAATTGGATCCATATATGGTCACGCGGTGCAAATCTCTAACTAAAGACCACCTGTCACTAAAGACCACTTTTCCGGGCACCAAGGGGTGGTCGTTAGTTACAGATTTTACTGTATGGTGTGTTGAGAGTTATGGTATGTAGAAAACCGTGTGTAAAATGCAAGATGTACGTGAAAGTGAAGTCGGGTTCAACCATGCAAACATATACTCACTGTAGCACCATGGACATGAGATGCAATCAATGCTGCACAATACACGTATTATGCATAGAACAGAACAACAAGGACAATCAAGACTTGTTTGCTGCGACTTGAAGTTTCATGCTCTCGCAATCATCAGGCAACATGAACATTGGGTGCCGACCATGCCAGTATATATGCCAGGGGATGGTGGTATGAAAAGCTGTGAGAATGTGGGGGCTAGCAGTGTTATTTTAGGCAGGAGGCTATGTGCAGAGTGTGTGGTTGTTGAAGGCAGGGGCTAGCAGTGCAATGTTAGCGCAGAATGTGTGGCTGGTGATGGCAGGAGGTGGTGAGCAATGTGTGTGGATGTTGTAGGCAGGAGGCTATAGTCTAGAGCTAGGAGTGTGATATTAGCGTTGTGTACATGTATATGGCTGGTGTGGGCAGGGTGTTATGAGCAAGGTGTGTGAACGTGAATGGTGTGGGCAAGGTGTTATGAGCAAGGTGTGTGAACGTGAATGGTGTGTGCAGGGTGTTATGAGCAAGGTGTGTGAACGTGAATGGTGTGGGCAGGGTGTTATGAGCAAGGTGTATGAACGTGAATGGTGTGGGCAGGGTGTTATGAGCAAGGTGTGTGAACGTGAATGGTGTGGGCAGGGTGTTATGAGCAAGGTGTGTGAACGTGAATGGTGTGGGCAGGGTGTTATGAGCAAGGTGTGTGAACGTGAATGGTGTGGGCAGGGTGTTATGAGCAAGGTGTGTGAACGTGAATGGTGTGGGCAGGGTGTTATGAGCAAGGTGTGTGAACGTGAATGGTGTGGGCAGGGTGTTATGAGCAAGGTGTGTGAACGTGAATGATGTGGGCAGGGTGGTATGAGCAAGGTGTGTGTGAACGTGAATGGTGTGGGCAGGAGGCTGTGGAGACATATTATTTAGGTGACACCGTGGTATTTTTGGTATTTTAGGAGATACTTGTTCTCGTGTCGGCACTTGGACACCATTTCCGAGCGCTTGTTGAGGCTGGATGGTGACCCTAGCGTGTTCAGGATATGGTACTTTTCTCTGGTACAGAGCGAACACCGCTTTGTGATGTTGGAGTATGCTCGGGCGCGATCTTTTATCCTCCATTCAACTTTGTACGGGGCGCTGGATTTCTTCAGTTTCCAGATGTAGTTCTAGAATTCAGTGCAGCTATAATGCCCAATAGGACCAAGAGTACATGAACACCAGAGTGTGCAGCTTGCGGCCTTTTCTGCTATGGGTGTCTGTCACGGCGGAATTCCGTCATTACATCATATTTGGCGCAGATCTGAGGCGGGAAACGGCGTAGCGCGTACAACTGAGCTGCAGTTGTGCAGAAAGAGACCTGCTTGAATCCTGTTTGTACGGATTACATCACTAAAATGATGTAATCACGGAATTCCGCCGTGACAGCAACCCATCCGAGCTGCACACTCTGGTTTTCATGTACAGTGGACCTACCCTTATAACGATAACCTCTATAACAATATTACCCTTATAACGATATTTTTCTGCCAAACCGAATCACTCCATTGGCTTGTGTATACAATGCCTTACCTCTATAACAATATTGCTATAACGATATTACCCCTATAACGATATAAAATGGGCTGACCAATCAACATTTTCCATTTTATAACAATATCTAGCAGGGAATATGTAGAGCCCACTATCCAGGTAGGGCAAGCTTCACTTGATAAGTCGCTGGGACATGACGAAATGCAATGGGGGCACCAGTGGGCACCTTGCTGTGTTGCTGTGTGCATAATGTGCATGTATGTCAGTTTTTATGCTATGAAGAGTGTAAAAAATGAACCAAATCCATGCATTATGACGTATGTGTATGAAACGAACCAGTTACCCCTATAACAATATTACCCTTATAACAATATTTCTTGGTGTGACGCAAATATCGTTATAAGGGTAGGTCGACTGTACTCTTGATTAGGACTAAACTGTCAAGCTATGGCTACAGGTTGATTGAACTGGGCACGTGAATCTCCACTGTACTTGGCACATGCCCCTTGTATTAGACATTTGTCTGTACAGTCATAATCCTGATGACTGGAGCCATCCAAACGGTACTCACTGACTCAGTAATACTGTAATACTGTAATACTGGTGAACTACCCTGGTGTAGATCTACTGTGCACACACACACACACACACACACACACACACACACACACACACACACACACACACACACACACACACACACACACACACACACACACACACACACACACACACACACACACACACACACACACACACACACACACACACACACACACACACACACACACACACACACACACACACACACACACTACTACTACTACTACTACTGTAGCTTGGTTGCCACAAGGGCCACACCACTCCGAAAGGAGCCAGAGTCATTGTCAGGAGCAGAAACGGAGATGACGACTCAGGTCACTCTGTCGACGGAACTGACGGCTGCAGCGAGAACAGCGAACACCATACGACGCTCTATCAGACTTGGTTGCTCGATGGCCACGGTCGCACTTGTGACGTCTGAAACCAGGCACTGACTTGAACTGCCGATTGCATGTCACACACAAGAGAGAAGCTGGGACGTTGAGCGGAATAGGTGATGCCGGCGCGGACGCTTCCGATGGTTCCAGGGGCAAACAATGATGTACACGCAAGCCACCACGAGAGTGAAACCACCTCCTGCATGTACCACACTGCACAGCACCACGCTGTCCCTGGATGGGGAGACTTCGTTCTGCGCTACACTTGTGTCTTGCTTTGTCACCTGGCCGACGAAACGAACGGTGGCAGATAAGACAGTCCACCCGTTGAGATTGGTCATGGGAAGGACCGCCGAGGCTCGGCCCAACGGCAGACACCCGCCAGGCAGATCGATCCTGAGCAATCCCATACCAAGCTAGATGTTCAATGCCGATGTGCCGAAGATCAGCCGAAATCACATCCCTCCAGCGACGACGGGGACCACACGCAGGCCGAGGCGACGGTAGGAAGCCAAACAACAGCTGCTTGGGCACACGAACATCCGACATGCGGGCCACATGGCCAAGCCATTCAAGCCTCCGCTTCCGAAGCCGGGAGGACAATAGCGATGTATCACCCCACATCTCTCGGAGCTGCTCATTGGTGATGCGTTCCTCCCACTGTTGTGTTCGCGAAACACACAAGATGCTACGGATGCATTGGTGGTGGAAACTATCGAGGCGCCGGAGGTCACCCTGCAAAGGGCACCAGCACTCCGAAGCATACAGTAGCACTGTCATCACACAGGCGTTATACAATCGGCGCTTCACATGGAGTGAAAGATCACGATTAGCAAACACATCCTGAAGCGATCCAAAGGCACGCGAGGCGAGTGACAAACGCCTCGAAACGTCTCCCGCAGAACGCGCATCCGGAGTGATGACAGAACCCAGATAAACGAAGGAGGAAACATTTTCCACCACCTGTCCATGAAGCGGAATGCCAGCAGTGTCAACTGAAGTAACACCAACACCAGCCACCATAAACTTGGTCTTGGGTATACTCACAGTGAGGCCAAATTCAGCAGAAACATCCTGGAACGCCGTCAAGGCCAACACAGCATGCTCCCGCGAACCAACTACAAAGTTTGCATCGTCCGCATACTCAACATCAACAACAGCGGTCTGCTGATAGGTACGGGTTCGTCGTGCTGGGTTGAATAACTGGCCATCCAAGCGATAGTGAAATTGGATGCCAATGTCTGGGTCACGATCAGCGAGAACAGACCGCCAACGTTCCACCACCAGAGCCAGATAGAGGTTAAAGAGGATTGGGGCCATTACACACCCCTGCCTCAGGCCGTTCTCCACACGAATTTCATCCGTGACACCCCCAGGCACACGCACCTCCGCCACCATGCCATCATGAAATGACTCAATGACCTTGAGGAGAGTCGGAGGAATACCAAGGACAGAAAGAGCACGATACAGTGCAGCCCTAGGCACAGAATCATATGCCTTTCTCAAGTCCACGAAGATACAAAATATTTTTGTACGATGCTCGTATGCCTTTTCCACCAGTTGCCGGACAGTAAACACAGCATCAGCACAGCCACGGTTGGGTCGAAATCCGCACTGAGACTCCGGGAGGAGATGCTCGGCCCTGGATTGAAGGCGGTTCTGTATCAAGCGACCAGCCATCTTGCCCACCACCTCCAAAAGAGAGATCCCACGCCAATTGTCACAGAGCGATAGATCTCCACGCTTTGGGATTGGCACCAGCTGGGCATTCCGCCACTCCTGAGGAACACCACCTGTGGACCAGACAGTCAAAAGCAAGGCCAGCAAACATTCATGCAGCTCACTGGAGCCATACTTCACAAGTTCGGGCAGGATCCCCGATGCGCCAGCTGCCTTGCCATTAGCCATTGCACGTATAGCTCGACCAACTTCCTCAGGAGATGGAGGGATGGCGAGCTCCTCGTCGATGGGCCTGACCTCCAGCGTACCGAAAACGTCCAAGTCATAGAGGCTCCTGATATTAAGGACGTTTGAAAAGTGTTCATACCACCTGGACGAGATGGCCTCCAACGACGTGCATACAATGCCATCGGTGTCCTGGATGGATTGCACCTTCATGGGTGTGATGCCCCCAAAGCATCGCTGAATCGCCCGAATGGCAGCCCAGGCAC